GGTAAGATTGAACTGTATTAGTGCTGCCCTAATGATAAACACCTTCTCTTTACCTCTACACTACCCAAACACTTACATTAACACAAACTGTTACACAGCCTCTAACCCTTAACCCCCACTCTACCCTTACATGCTATCTCTAGTCCTTTCACAAACCTTACCACTAACCATGCCACAAACTGTAACCTCTACCCTAACACACTCATCATAGCATCAACATTTATATTAATCAGAACCTACTAATCCTAACACACTAACACTATACTAAAGTATTACATAATATAAAAGACATATATAATGATGAACCATGTTTAAGATGTAAAAAATGTCTCACGGTTCTAGGTTCATTTAAAGATTTTCCAAAATAAAACAGTTCACCATTATGTATCATATGTGCGCGTGTTTTTGTTTGTGTCTGCAAGTACGCATGGTAAAAGCTGTTTCACACTCATTCTATAATTTATTGTATTACTGTTTGAATGAGTGTAGCAAAAGATTACAAGAATCATACACAAAACTATATGTGAACTACAAGTTTTTGTTATTCCGATTATTTAGAAATTTTTATTTTAATCACACCTGAATGTATTTAAGTATAATGTTGTTTTAGTTTGCTTTGCAATTCCTTGTAAACAAGCAAACTAAATGGTTCATCCTGAAATACATATTTTATTTTCCTAAATACTTTATAAAGCTCCAAACTGAGTTTTCAAGAGCTTGTATAGTTATTTTTTTTTTAAATTGCACTCAAGAGAAATGTTTTGCAGCACCGTAAGAACATGTCCGAATAATTTAGAAAAGCTCTATCATTTATGAGGAAAAGTCAAAGATATTAATTTTTTAGTGATATGGGACTGAAATGCATTAACGTCCCTGTTTTAAGAGATGTACCTGTTTTTGTCTTGTGTTTTACTCTGATTTCACAACATATTTGCACAGTTTACCATTGTTTTAAAATGATATACCGAATGTTGCACATGCAAAAAAAGTTACGAAAAAAAGAAACACTAAATAGGATTGGGTATTATGGTATACAATAATCACAACATGGTACACAGGGGACTTTCTGTGAGCTGCATAGTTTAAATTATGTATAGAAAGACACATGAAATATAGTACACTCTTTAACATTGCCGTTACGGATTTGCCCTAGTTATGTTTAAATTATGTACTAGAACCTGTTTTAATGTTGTCCATGCTTTCTAAAACATTACAGAAGCCATGTCTTTTTAAATGCTATTTATTTTTTCATGTTAAGAACCTATAAACAAAGAAAGATAGTGGTGATATTCACCTTTTTTTGTATTAGCCATTGTAAAACAAAATATTAGTGATGATTTAAAATAAAATATTTCTTATATAATTGGCTGTAATGAGTGAAACAATAAAAGTAACCTATATAAATATATATATAGAAAATTGACCTGTCTGAGCTTAATGTAGTGGTTCTGGGCTATACAGCATGTCCCTGCAGGCTTCTCAATGTAAACACTGCCTTTAAGTGAAAAGGTAGTGTTTACATTTATGCCTCGGAAAACTTCTGAATTTGTGCAGCACCTACGTTCCCCATAATGCGTCGATTGTTTGTCACACACTATAGGAAAGCATTGGATTGGGTGAAATCATCAAGGTTGATGATCTCAGCCACAGAGGCAAAGCGAGGTGGGGCCAGCCACGGTGCTTCCGGCATGGCATGTGAAAAAGGTAAGTAATCACCTTTTTACTGTAAAGAGAGGGGATCAGGACCTAAATAGTTATTTTACTACTATACTGTCAGGAATACGTTCGTATAGTGTTCCTTTAAGAAATCTTTCAACTATAGCACAATGTTATTGTTAAAAATAGTCTAATTTGAAGAAATGAAAGGTGTAATGATGTTCAATAAACAGTGGTATTCCCTGAGGCTGATCAGATGATTCATTAGTAATTGGTGAAATTGTTTCAAAGCTGATGGGTCCAGAATCTTTGCAATGTAATAATGATTCAAACATCTGTATTTTAATTAAACTCAAATCTAAAGAACTTGCTTTTCAGCAATCTGACAAATGGGGAATTAAAACATTCTTTCTGTATCTGTAGAAAGAATTAATCCAAGTTTCGCCTCGTAGGTACTCATCATGCATTTCAGCAAAGAGGTAGAGTTCTTGGGTGGAATAATTACTTTTTTTTATACTACTTTAGAATTGCTAGCTGAAAAACAATTAAAACTCTGCGGGGGGAAAGCTGGCATTCTGAATTGCTTGATCAACAACACATACAAAGCAGAAAAACATGACAGTAATGTATCTGCTGATTAGCTGAAAGATAAAGCTGTGGCAATATAATTTAGATGGTGCTTACAATTCTTTCCGTGTAATGCATAACCTGCTACTATTTATGTTTGAAATCCGCATTGTTTTGTATAGCTTACTGTATATAGGATTGTTACTGTGTTATAAAGTATTTCCGTACATAGGAAAAAAATATCAAAGGAAAATTCAAGGGGCTTCCATAAAAACTAACATTAAATAAAATGTGGGGTATCACGGATTTTATAAATGAAACACATCAAAGCCTTTTCTCCCACGCTGTATTTAATGGCTATAGAGAAAACAAAGGAAAAATAAACACAAATAACCCTCTTGTAGCATTATATCTAATGCTGTCATGCTTTTAGTGGTTATTTTTGATTAGAATGTGTGCATAGACAGAGGTGTCCCCAGATGTTGGACTTTTTGTATCTGTTCTTTCACTAGATACATGAATGACATTATGTTGTGGTACGTCAACATGCATTTCTTGGATAGAAAGACTGATATTCCAATATATTTCTCTTATTCGTTCTTATTTGGTTTTAATAAAATTTAGCTCATTCTTGTGGAACATTAGAATTTAGCTGATGCTGTTGATTGAAAATCGGTGGGAGAGATCCAACGCTTGGATTGTTTTGGTTTTCATGCATGCACGATGCGAGGTAGAGAGCACTCATAGGCCTTGTATATAACACAATGTTGCCAGTTTATTTCTTTACATTATAACAGCACAGCAGACAACGTCAAAGATTTGACCCTAGCTAGGACATTTATCAAAGCAAAGTAATGTGTGGTGGTAATGAGTACTAAATAAACAGAAACAACATGGGGTAATTAATTGTTAGAGTGAAGTAATAAATAAAACTAAAGTAGTAGGTCCAAGTCTTAAAAGAGAACAGAAAAAAGGAAAGTTATGAATGAGTATCAGGTAGCTAAGCAACCAGCACCAGACTATAAGAGAAAGTATCCCAGGAAACAACAAACCCTGCACACTGGTTTCCCCAGCACACACACATACACGCACTTCATCCTCCAGTACACACACACACTGCATCCCTTGCACACAGACACTCACTGCATCCCCAGCACACAGACACACAGACACACTGCATCCCCAGCACACAGACACACAGACACACTGCATCCCTTGCACACAGACACTCACTGCATCCCCAGCACACGCTGCATCCCCAGCACACAGACACACAGACACACTGCATCCCCAGCACACAGACACACAGACACACTGCATCCCTTGCACACAGACACTCACTGCATCCCCAGCACACGCTGCATCCCCAGCACACAGACACACACTGCATGCGCAGCACATACACTCTGCATATCCAGCACACAGACACACACTGCACATCCAGCACATGGACACACACTTCATATTCAACACACAGACATACACTGCATCTCCAGCACACAGACACACACTGCATCTGCAGCACATGCACACTGCATATCCAGCACACAGACACACTGCATATCCAGCACATAGACACACACTTCATATTCAGCACACAGACATACACTGCATCCCCAGCACACAGACACACACTGCATCCCCAGCACATACACACTGCATATCCAGCACACAGACACACACTGCACATCCAGCACATGGACACACATCATATTCAACACACAGACATACACTGCATCTCCAGCACACAGACACACACTGCATCTGCAGCACATGCACACTGCATATCCAGCACACAGACACACACTGCATATCCAGCACATAGACACACACTTCATATTCAGCACACAGGCACACACTGCATCCCCACACACAGACACACACTGCATCCCCAGCACATACACACTGCATATCCAGCACACAGACACACACTGCATATCCAGCACACAGACACACACTGCATCCCCACACACAGACACACACTGCATCCCCAGCACATACACACTCCATTCCCATCACTCACACACACACACACACACACACACACTTCATCCCCAGCACACACACAGACACACAACACATCCTCAGCTCATGCACAGATATACACTGCATCCTCAGCACATGTACAGACACATACTGTATTACAGAGTGGATGTGGGCGTGGTTTGGTTGGCGTGGTTTGGGGGGAGGGCAGCATTTCATGTTAGGACCCAAGCAGAACAATGTCTTGGGCCGGCCCTGTATTGAGTGGTACTAATTACTAATAATGGTAATAAGACAAAATATTAAAAGAAAACTGCAAAGGGCTAATGAGATAAAAAAAAAGGAATACCTGAAGAGTGAGTAAAAAAAATAAATAAAAAAAAAAAGTAGAAAAAGAATAAGCACACCATTATGTAAAATAAATTTGACTTTTTTTTTTTTATTTACACCACTGGAGGCTGTACAACGTAGGACCCCAATATGCTTATCTACACAACAGTTCCTGGATGCAATCACTGACTTTTATACGCTTCTAATAGGTAAGTGCTAATGAAGCACCAGTTAGAGTTCACACCAGGGGTTTCATTATATCCTTCCTTTCTTCCTTACATTTTTTATTTTTGATAAAATAAAGGTTTTGTTGTTTTTTTTCCCCACTTTTTAATGGAGTACTGTTGCATTTACTTTTGACTGGTATTTATTTTAAACAGTGAAGGACACATTCTTGCCAAATCAATTGGTAAATATAAGATTTTTTTTACAGGATTTTTTTTTTAAATGTAACTTTATTTTGGGGCCCTTCACTGTTATTAGTAAAGTTAGGCAGGGACATATTATTGGAGGGCAACTCAGGATTTGGTGACAACTTGCTAACAGAGGGGCACTTTTTGAGTTCAGGTAACCAAGTATCTCCTGACACCTTATTAGACCACCATAAGAGACCAAGGTGATTGGGTATTGCCTGGAAAATTATTGGCCCATTTCAATACAGTGGCCCAGGAGACTGAGCATATAATGGGTTCTTATTGGCCATTAATGGGGCCTAGGAAACTGAGCATCTCCTGGACCGTTTCCATATCAGCCTCCGCCATGCCAACCACTACATACAGAATGAGGAGATGCCACTCACTGGGTATCTCCTGTTTTTGAAGGAGCTTGTCTGCTGTAACCTATTGCAAAATGTCAATTAAAACGCCCAGCATTTAGACCATTATTTTGCTTTCACTTTTAGTGCCACAGGGGTAAGCAGTACATCATGCTGCACTCTGTTGTGAGCACTGAGACGGTTAAACTTACTGTTGGTGCTCACATAGTTAGAACTCATTACATCATTGCTACTTTATTTTATGTGCGTATTCTTCTTATTATTTTATACTAGGTATATATGTGTGCCTTGCATACATGTGTAGAATATTTCTTGTAATAACATTTTATTGCACTTATAAATTGTGAGCTGGCTTTGTTACTATAAAGGATTCTTTCTAATGTCTTCATGTTGGTGATTGCATGTTAGCGATTGCCTCATTAATTGTTTTTTGTTTTTTTTTTTTTTAATTACTTTAAAATTACAATAAAAATAACAAACTACCTTTTTAGAGATACTTAGCTACACAGCATCCGTAGATGTGGTACAGGAGTGCAATGAGTACCCGTACATCAAGCAGACATTCCACTAGCATTGTCTTAACAAGTTCTCTCCTAGCATATAACAAAGCTCACAATTAACAAAATCTGAACAATGCTTCTCTAAAATATTCCTCCAGAGGATGTTTGAGGTCTCAGTCTGTCAAGTATTCTTTATCAGCTATCTTGCTAGCTTATGGAGGTATGTAATGGGAGTAAATTAGTTTAAACAAAGTCTCACACAACTCATTTTTATACAAGAGAGAGCAATAACACCGACAAACAGAAGAACCAATAATTCTCTCTTGACTCATTCACTCTCATTACTGCTCCTACTTTTACAACCTTTTTATCTTCAAGATTCCTTATCTCGTCTGACACCCTACCCAATTCAGTGATCCTCTACAGTGTATTCTATGTTAAAAAAGAGACACCGCCATAAGAAAAGCAGTGTCTGCACAATACCTGTATACGGCATTAGCTTGCAGCATGTCTCGCTCTCTTGACCAATTTACTCAAGATTTTTGTGCTGAAGCTTGGTTTCTTTAACACATGCACACACCATATGTCGATATACTATTCCGTTGAATTATTGATTCCTCCTTCATTTTTAATATATGTATATTAAAGCCCCACTAAATGTAGCTGTTTTTGAACTTATATTAATTAAAGTGGCACGGTCATACCAAACTTACCTTCTGCTTATTGTTTCCCCTTCTCTTCCTCTCTCAGAATCTGTTCTTCTTTTCTTCCTATCTGCTCTAGTTTTCTTTAAGACATAAGACAAAGTAGGAAATATTTGGTTTTATGTATTTTTCCTACACTTGACATTCTCTAACACAAGGAGGAGCTTAAGTCAGCTGCATTTCCTGTGTCAAGGAGGAGGGTGAGTATTGTGGGAAAACTTTTACACAGGAAATGGAGCGGAGTTAAGGTCCTCCTTTGGTCAAAGAAAGTCAAGTCATGTAGTTCCTACTTTGTCTTATGTTTTAAAGAAAACTATTATCAGAAATAAAGAAAAGAAGAACAGATTCTGAGAGGGGAAGAGAAATTAGGAGAAGCTAAATTCGGCGTGACAGTACCGCTTTAACTTCAGTATTGTCTCACTGAATATAAGCACTCTTAAATTCTAACTTTGTTTGATATATCCTATTACCAAGTAGATGTTCTACCAGTCTTGGTAATTATTATGTATCTTACTTCCCATTCAATTAGAAACATCTCTCCTCCACTCTTTGTTTGTTGTATCTGCCCCTGTGAACACTAACTAATCCTACACGTAACAATGCTAAGAAACTTGTCTCTAATACACTTTACTTTGTCTACTTACCACTGAAGTATTCACACATAACTCCTCACATCCAATCAATTTCCAAATCCTGTAACTTTCATTCTAACCTTCAATCTTTTTGTATAGCAAATATGGATAGGTATAAAAACTTTCCCACGCTTTGTCAGCTATTACATTGCGTAGGAAAAATACTCACACTATGAAATACCAGCAATAGCAGTTTGAAAAGTGAGAATGTCAGAGAACTCTGAATACCTTACAAGCCAACCAATCAGATCGCTCCTACTGATATTGCATAGCGTGAGGAATTTCCCCATGCAATCTAATAGCTGACATAGCATAGGAAAGTTATTACTTTCCACTATGTGCACTCGACAAGCTAAGATGGATTTATTTTACTGCATTGGGATTTAGAATCTTTCCTTCTTTTTTTTGTGTTTCTGTCTTATATGCAACTGACCTGGTTATTTTTGTAATGGCACAAGATGAGCTAAAACCAGCTTGAGATCTGAGCGGGGAGCCACCGAAGGGCAGGCTATTTGAGCTGTTGTCCGTTCTCTGTACCCTTTTGCGCCTTGTTTTTTCTGTCTTTATAGTTTCATTAGTTGCGTTGAGAATTCTGAATTTTAATTTCACCTTTTTGGGGGCAGAAGACTTCTGATGGTAAGATTAAATTTATTTTACACATATTTGTTTTATTGGCCACATCCCTAATATTATGGTGAAGGTGTAGGTAGGGTTAATTAATTTTGATGGGATGGTTGCCAGGGGAAATTGCTTTCTCTTTAAAGTTATAATAAGGTCCCCCACCCACCGCCAATGTGTGTGGGTTAGGGGTAGCACACTAGTTATTTCACATGCCCCATCCCCATGGGTCTTTTTAGTGACTGAGTATCAATGGGCATTTAGTAGATATGCCTCCATTTTCCTAATATGGGGCTAATTGAACCTACAGTCCTTTTATATATTTTATATATTTGAGGCAAATAGTTCACATTTTTTAAAGCATTCTTGTCCATTTTTATCCATACAGCCATGTTTAGTCTGACCGGAATCCAGTTTTTTCATGTATGAATGTCCCTATTTGGTAAATGGCCATTTGGACATTAGTGAATATCTCCAACAGACAGCAATAGTAGTAGAAGATCATAATATGTATCATGTAGAAGCAGTTTGTCACTTTGAATCCCTAAAAAGTACTAAAACCTCTACGTCAGGTGAGGATTAGTCAACAATTGGAGGGATAGGTTTTAAGGTACGCATTGAATAGTTTGATGCAGTCACACCTGGCAGTTGGTTCCCTTTACGGGTTCATCTGAGAAGTTGTGTAAAAGTGGTGAAGCTGTAATAATTACCAACTGATCACTCCTGCTGATTCCTTTGGTTTCTATTGTGATTGCTCCAATGTAAGAACTTTGCGCCACTTTATAGCACATAACACTTTGATAAATTTCCCCCATTGCTCTTTCACCCTGCTTTATATTAGATTATAGGTTTGTTTTAGCAGGCCATTATCACCTCTTGATTCTGTTTATGTAAGCTTGTTTGTCTTCTATTTGTAATTTATACAGTTCTATATTTGTTCCTTTATTTTCTCTACAGATGAATACAGCTTTTGTTCAATTATAGCTCCATTTTTTTTCCTTAGCGTCTTCCAAGACCGGATCCATTATGATTTCTCAATGTTTTAAACTCTTCCAGAACATTGACTGGGTTACATGATGGGTATAGTACAAATGGAAGTATAGGCTTCGTGGATACTAGTGAAAACACAGAAAGGTTAATTGGATTACAACATATTTTACACTTAGCATTTAGCATTGCAGCCAGGTTGGTAGCATTCTAAAATAGTGTTATACATTTTTTTTAAAAAGTTAAATGACATTATAAAGTTTCGTAATAATACAATGTTCATAAAATTGCAAGTTGTTTAGATCAATATTCACTAGTGTCATCCATAATGCTGAATGACATTCAGACATCTCTTACCAATAGTCAAAACGACGTTTAGAAAACTTACCTTGATGCATAAAGGCGAATGTATCTGTAATTTTTTCAATCCGACTTTAGAAATGTAGTATATGTTATTTGTTTACGATTACATGACACCTGTTTCTTAGATAAGAGATTTCTGAAATCCATTTGCATTCTTGTTTTTAATTTTGGTGAGAAATGTAGTATCCATATTATAAACACATGTAATTTTCTTCAATGGAACGATGGGACAACAGGGCAACAGGAGTAAAAGCCCAGCTCATTTGTGTTGATAAATCTCTGTGCTAACACATACATACAGAGCAGGCAGATTTGTATGTAGACTGAATTGTTCACTGTTATGGATATCGCTTGTGTCAAATAAAATATTTTACATTTTGCATTGTCTCAGAAGTAATTATATTCAACTAGACACGGAAAAACAGTTTCTGCAATAGCTATTATATGGCTCATGCACTGAATATTTATTTTTTTCCTATTTGAAAAACTCAATTAATCTAGTAGTTTCCATATCATTATAGTTGCAAAAATATTTACAGAATACATAATTCATTCCTAGGGCCTACCTAGGTACCGAAAACCTACTTTCGGACTGACTTGTTAAGGTGACTGTTAAAATGTGAAAAATATGATGGAATATTTGAAATGTTATTTTAATTTCACCAATAATGCAGATGTTTTACATGACTATCCTACTGAACATCTCACAAGTAAAAACGATTAATCATAACAAACTGATAAGACATATAGTCAGATGTACACCTGAATAGGGATCTCTAAAATGTACTTGTACATACATAGAACTCTCAGAGACATTGTTTCTGAGTATTCTGAGTACGTACTTTAAAAAAAATAAAAAATGACACTGTCAAAACATGAGTGCTTTTTAGCAATTGTCACTCAAATGTTTCATCGACAGAATGTTAACACTAGATAAATAATTGGACTTAGATCACAAATGGTGAAGCTTTCAGTGTCCCTGGAACAGTTAGTAGTATTGTAAGCACAGGGCACTTCCTCTAAAGAGCTATAGTTCTTGCTTTTTTTTCTCTGATATAAAAGAATAATTAATAAAAATAAAAAATAGGACAGATTATTTCATATATACCTTATATTCCAAGATATGTGTAAAACCTTTGTAGTTTTTGGATTCAGACAAAACTGTTACACTATTCAGTGACAGGTAATCTCCAGTGTATCAAATTGACATGTATGAGGTGTGCTTATGGAACACTACCGTGCCACCTGCTACCCAGCAGTTGAAGTCCACTACCAATGAATTCCAGTGAATCCAGTGATGAACACTTTTGTATTCACAACTTTTAATTATTGAAAGTCTTCATATTTTGTGTTGCAAGACGCTGGGAACGCTTCGCATAAAAAGCACTGGATTCAATATTCTCTGAGTGCAGTCATTATGTTGCTTGAACAGTAA